CCTTCAAGGTGGCTCCAACTCATCGTGAGTCTTCATACAACAAAGCAACCCTGCCCGATCCTGGGCTGTGCTTGTCACTGTGGTCCTCTTTAAGCCCATTGTTATAGCCACCGTGTCAACCGATACCCTTGAGGGCCTTCTGTTTCTCACTCCTCCTCGACATTACCAGGCACTATGTCCTTTCCCAGGGATTGGTCTCTCTTAACCACACGCCCAAGGAGCATGAGATGAAGTCTCGCCATCCTTGTTACCAAGTAGCATTCTGGTTGTACTTCTTCCAAAATAGATTTGTGTGTTCTGGCAGTCTTTGGTACTTTCAATATTTTGCATCAATCCTGAAGTTCAATTGCATCAATCCCTCTTCTGTTATCCTCTAATTGCATATGAAGCAATTGAAAATACTGTGGCTTGAGCCAAGCACACCATAGTGCTTAATGTAATATCTTTGCTATTCCACACTTTCAAGAGGTCTTATGTAACAAATTTTCAAATGCAATCAATACATCAGTTGATTTCTTAACTGCTGCTTCCATGAGCGTTGGTTGTGGATCTGAGCCAAATGAAATCTTTGACAACTTCATTATCTTCTCAAGTTATAATTACATCATCTAATGGCCTTGTTGTGAGGGTTTTGGTTTTCTTTACATTGAGTTGAATCCATTCTTAAGGCTGAAGACTTTGACTTCCTCAGCAAGTGCTTCAAGTTCTCTTTACCTTTAGCAAACAAGATCGTCTCATCGGCTGTTAATAAGCCTTCCTCCAACCCTGTTTCCTCGTTTTCCATCAGATAGTCCAGTTTCTCAGCTCATTTGTCCAGCACACATTGAGTACATATGGTGAAAGGGTGAAACTCTGAAGCACCCCTTATTTGGTTTTAAACTGTGTGGGTTCTTTCGTTCTGTTTGAAAAATTGCCCGTTGGTCCACGTATAGGGTCCTCATAATGACTTTTCATAATAATGTTCTCAGTAATATCCTGGGTTCATTCCTGTTGTGAAATGTTTTGCAGATTCATTGTGTATATGCACAATAGCACATATATTCATCTGTCAATGGGTACTTACATTGTTTCCATCCTTTTGCTATTTTGAATAATGCTATGACAAACATGGGTGTACATATATCTGTTTGTGTTATAAGTCATATTTCATAGGATATACAAGGGGGTATCCAAAGTAACCCAGATTTTTTTCAGAGCTATGCATTTAGATTTTTTATAAAACAACCTTATCACCTTCAAAGTACTCTCCATTACACTTAATACACTTGTCAAATCTGCGTTCCATTCTTGGGAAAATTTTTCAAACGTATCTGTTTTGATGGCTGACAGCACTTCCCTCATTTTTTCCTTCACCTTTTCCGTGTCATCAAATTGAAGTCCTCTCATGTCCCTCTGCATTCGCAGAAACTAAAAGAAGTGGCATGGAGCGAGGTCAGGTGAGTAAGGTGTGTGGAGCAAGAGAGGCATGATGTTTTTTGCCCCAAAACTGGCACACTGAGATGGCTGCGTGAGCAGGTGCATTCGTGTGGCGGCAAAACCAGTCCTGTGTCTGGCACAAATTAGGCCTGTGTTGTCACACAGTTACACAATCTTTCCCAGAACTTCTAAATAGAAGGCTTAATTAACAGTCTGACTTGAATTCCATATGCACTGAGGGTTAACATTTTCATCCATTCAGGAAGTTGATGGACATTCATAAGGAGGTTTGTCATCAATCAACAATTCACCTTTTTGACATGAGTAAACCACTCATAAACTTGAGTTTTTCCCATAGCCCTGTCCTTGTAAGCTATGTTCAACATCACAACAGCTTCTATGGCATTTTTCCTGAGCAGCAAACAAAATTTCACAGGGGCATGCTGTTCTCTTAAATCGGCCATCACAAAAAAATGAGGTTCAAGCAAAACTACTTTTATGAATAAATTCACTGTGACCAGAAAGAACCTACCCAGGTGAAGCCACTGGGTGCACTAACTCAAAGCGAGTTGCTTGATGCTTGCCTAGCAGGAAAAATACTTACTAAGAGCTCTGCCCAGCACAATTCTGGTTTTTTGTGGATACCCACACATATACTTAATAAGATTGCTGGATCAAATGATATCTCTATACCCATCTATGTAAGGAAGTGCCAGAGAATTTGTATCATTTTACAATCCCACCAGCAGTGTGTGAAATGTCCGGCCTCTCTACACCATTGCCAGTATGTGTTGCTTTCCTTTCTTCCCTCATTGCTGTTACAGCTAGGGTAAGATGCTAGGTCATTGCATTTCTCTGATGGCTAATGATAGTAAGCATCTCTTGATATATTTATTGGTTGCCTGAATGTCTTCTTTGGTGAAGTGTCTGTTCATGTTCCATACCCACTTTTTGTGTTGAACTGTTTATCTTTTTGTTGAAGTTTTCTATACAGTTTATAGATTTATCCCTTGTCAGATATGTTGTTGCCAATTCTTTCTGCAACCTATGGTTTCTCTTTTCACTCTTCTGAAAAGTCTTTTGATGCACATGAAAACTCATACATAAAACTCACTGCCATTCAAGTCCATTCTGACTGATGGCAGCCCCATGTGGCAGGATAGAACTGCCATGGTGGGTTTCCGACACTATAACTCCTTATGGGAGTAGAAAGCCTCATCTTTCTCTGAGGAGTGGTTAGTGGTTGAACTTCTGACTCTGTGGTTAGCATCTCAATGGGTAAGCACTACTGTTTGATTTTTAGGACAGTCCATTCATCTAATTTATCTTCTACTTTTTGTGAAGTTTTTTGTTATGTTTGATAGTGTATTCATACCATAAATATAGACCTTTAAGTTTGCCCCTCTTTTCCCTTAATGATTCTTTATAGTTTAGATTTAGGTCTTTGATCTACTTGAGTAAGTTTTGATATATAGTGTGAGGTATGAAAATTGTTTTATGTTTCTCCAGATGCATATTCAATTTTGTCAGAACCATTTCTTAGAGCAGTGGTTCTCAACCTTCCTAAAGCTGCAACCCTTTAATACAGTTCATTTTGTGATGACCCCCAACCATAAAAGTATTTTCATTGCTACTTCATAACTGCAATTTCGCTACTGTTATGAATTGGGCGACCCCTGTGAAAGGGTCATTTGACCCCCAAAGGGGTCACGACCCACAGGTTGAGAACCACTCTCTTGGAGACTATCTCTTCCCCCATTTAATGGATTTCAGTTCTTTTTCCAGACGAGCTGTTCATGATGTGTTGTTGTCCTGTGCCATTGAGTCATTCCCATTCCGTAGTAAGCCCGTGCACCACAAAGCAAGCACTGCGGGGCCCATTTCCACCCTCACAATCATTGCTCTGTTTGCGTCCACTGTTGCAGTCATTGTGTCAGTCTTTCTCACCAGGGCCTTCCGCTTTGCTGCTGACCAACATGATGTCCTTCTCCAGAACTGGTTCTTCTGGGTAACGTGCCCAAAGTACATGAGACAAATCTTACCAGCCTTGCTTCTAAGGGGAATTCTAGTTATACTTCTTCCAGCACAGATTTGCTTGCTCTTCTGGCACCAGGTGAGGGTGTCTGAGCTCTTCCAATTAGCTGCCACCAGCAATGGGGGTCTTATTGCTGTCTGGATATATAATTACTCTAGGCCCTGTTGGGGCTTCTATCTATTTGCCTTCAGTGCCCCTTACCTGAGAGATTGCTGCTGCTTTGTCTCAGATGGCCATGCTGTGCCAGGCCAGCTGGCAGGTCCATTGCACCCTATCTCTTCTTGTTCTTGTTTTGACTCCATTTCTCCTCAGGAATTGGTCTAATTCTTTAGAGGTCTAATTGTTCAGAGGTCCAGACCTGTCTTCTGTATCCAGTTCACTTCATTTCTTGGGCCTTTGCTACAGAGCTATAGTGCGCTGTTTCTGATAAGCTGCTGTTTGGCCTCTCCCCTCAACTGTCTTTTATAAATGAATAAAATTAAAGTTTACTGTGTATGTGGCCAATTTTTATAAATGTTCTATGGATTATTGAGAAAGGTGTTGTGCTAGTCTGACTTGACTAGAGAAACAAATTCAGGTAAGACTCATAAATGTATAGGAATAAACTTTATATCAAAGAGTAATTGTATATTAAGAAAACATTCCAGTCCAGTCCAGATCAAGTCCATAGTCCAATATCAGCCCAATACCGGTTTGTAAATTCTCTTCAGACTCACACAACACATTCAATGACCCAAAGGCAGGAAGATCATAGGCCAGTGGGTGGAAAGTCCTGTGGATCTAATGGCAATGGAAGCATCTCAGTGCTAATGCAGGTGTCCACGTGGTTCCTCCAGCTCCAGGGCTCTGGCTCCATCAGCCTAGCTCCATGTGGCTTGTCAACAGGAATGTCTCAAAGGGAGATGAAAGAGAGAGTGTGTCTGGCCTTCAGTGAGCTATTTATCTCGACCTTGTCTCCAAATAAGGTCATCAAGTTGTGACCTGATTGACAGGCTAGACTCCACCCCTTCGCAAGTTGACAGATTATGTAACTGCCACAGGCATATTCTTTGTTACCAGGTTACAGCACTTATAAAAAATTGATCATACTTATATGTGTTCACATTATAGCCCCTATTTTATGGTCTTATTTTTTACTTGAAATATTTTTTAGCTTTAGTTCATAATCTTTAGTTGTGTAGTCATGTTTTTCATAATAATTACATTTATGCCAGTTTCTTTTTGGATGTCTAAATAGTTTAACTTAACATCTTTTTGTCTATGGTAGTATTACAATTTATAACATCATTATTATTACAACATGACTGCTATTTTACCTTTCTCTTTGCTTTAAATTACATAGTCTACTATAACTTTGACAAAATTGCCTAATATAAGCATGGTTAAATATGTCTGGAAAACAGTTCCTTCATTTTTAAGTGTATTCTCTTTTCTATTGCCCACAAATTATTGCTTTGGGGATTATAATTCAGACTGAGTTTGCCTAGTTTTAAAATGATAGTTGACTTTACTAAATCCTTTTTCCTTTCTATCCTTTACTTTGTTTCAGGTGGGCCATAAAGCATGAAGGGACCAGTAAGCCAAGCCAGTGGAAACATTCCAAAGTTGAAAATCCTTTGTGGAACAAGCTTAACTATATGTGGCCAGTCCTCCCCAGTGGCCAACTTAATGAGGTTGTATCACTTTAAACAAGAGGTGGTTGTAGATACTTAAGGCTCTGGGATTTGTGTGTTGTGCTCTTCTTCTACATAGCCCTGGAAGTAGAAACACCAATTGGTTGCGGTTAGCAAATTTCCTCCCGATAAAATCTATTTTCAGCACTCTGCTTTCTTCTTTGGGTCTATAGCATGTCTTCTTTATTGCCAAGTAAATGATATATTCTTCAAAAACTTGAAGATAATGTATTTTATCCAGAGTTTTGTATGTGTTACTATGTAAAGGTAAATCAACTTACTTATTTTGTCATAAATTTTGGTCTTACTATCAGTGCGTTAAGGGAAGATTATCAAACTAAGAATCATTATCTAGAACCCCAGAGATGCCTTACATTTAGACTGTAGAGATGTAGATCTAGAAAGTGAGAGAAATGTTCTTCAGAGTAGGAGAGGCTTAATGATGGCAACCTATGTACAAACATGCTTGATACAATTGATTTTTGGATTGTTATAAGATATATGAGTCCCCAATAAAATAGTCTTTAAAGTAAATAAATAAATTTAAATACAAAAAGAAAAACAAAGTAAGAGAGGCTGTGGGCGAACAGAGCGAGCTTCTGGCTGAATGAATTATGTGTCTAAGACTCAGCATTTGCAGCACTACGGAGAGACAGCATGGCGCCAAGAGTGAGGTAATGACAAAAAAAAAAAAAAGAGGAGATAAGTAGACCCAGCATGAGCTAAAAAAATTGTGAGTTAAATTAATTGTAGATTTATCTCCAGACATTAGGAAAGATAGAGGTTGAAACACAGAAACCACAGAAGATAACGTACTCCTCTACTGGTAGTGAGCACATCCAGCAGGTTGCCCAGTGGCAATGGGGAAAGGAAGGTTATTCTCAGAGGCCTATGAGACTCAGGATCACATAAGCACCCACATCTGGTTCATCGGTCGAAAGGATGTGGTTATTTAACTTTCATCATTGCCTGGATAATGTAGAAGAAGAAAAGGTACATCCTTGAAAGGACACAACAGTTCTAATAAGATGTTTGAAACTTCAGCATATTGACTGTGTCTCCAACAAAATAGAACTAACAACCCCAAAACTGTTTAAATTGGCAGACACCTCTAACTGGAACATTGTTTCCCACACCCAAATGGGATTATATGAAGAATGCACTATCAACATTGGAGGAAGGCTTATTAGCAACTGGTGATATCCAGAGAACACAATCTTGCTTGTTGAAAATGAGGAGGACTCCAGGCTGATGAAACTCAAGAATTGCAGCCTTTAGTATGGATTACAACTCAGTAAACAGGACCCAAATCCTCACAATTGGACCAATAGGTAAGATCCGGATATATGAAGAAAGGGTTGAAGTTGTCAAGGATTATGTTTTACTTCAACACACAATCAATGCTCATGAAAGCAGGAATCAAGAGATCAAACAAATCATTGCATTGGATAAATTTGCTACACAAAATATCTAGAGTATTGAAAAGTAAGGATATTACTTTGAGGACTAATTTGCACTTGAACTGAGACATGGTATTTTCCATTGTCTCATATGATGTGAATGTTGGACACTGAATAAGGAAGGTCAAAGAAGAATCGATGCATTTGAATTGTGGTGCTGGAGAAGAATATTGAAACTGTCATAGGCTACCAGAAGGACAAACAACTCTGTCTTGGCAGAAGTACAGCCAGAATGTTCCTTCGAGGCTGGAATGGTGGGATTTCTTCTTACATACTTTGGACATGTTGTCGGGAGTGACAGTCCCTGGAGATGGACATTGTGCTTGGTGAAGTAGAGGGGCAGCGAGAGAGAGGAAGGCCTTCAAGGAGATGGATCGACACCCTGATGGCAACAACAGGCTCAAGCATGAGAACAATTGTGAGGGTGGCACAGAACCAAGCAGTGTCTCATCCAGCTGTGCACATGGTCATTATGGGTCATCACCAACTCGATGGAACCCAACAACAACAACAACAGGATGAGAGGTACACAGGTATGCCTCGTGAAGAATGGCTCTTCAGTTATAGGGATGTAGACCAAAAAAATAAAATTATGACAAGTTGCATAGATGTGGTACTTACAGATGTTTACCTATAAGAGTGAAATACTTCAGTTCTAATGATTTAAATGTCACATCTTAAATTGCATTAGGAAATCTAAGTAAACAAGATTCTTTTTAACAGTTACCTTTAAAAATGATCATTTCTGATGATGATCTGGAATTTTTTGGACACCTAAATGATTTTAGGAATAAATATGGACGACATCTAAATTCTTTTTTCATTGAGATACAATGATAGCTTTCAGATGGAATGAATAAGTCCTTATAACCCCACAAAATTCTTACCTTCTTTTGTGGAGGGAAAAAGTGAAGACAATAACTTAGCTAAATTCTGACAAACTGACCCCGTGCAAGGAGGTTTTGAAAGTTTATGGGGGGAAAAAGATTTATAAGATGAAAGGAATTGTTTCCCATGAGCTTTTAAAAGCCTTCTCGTACTTTAAAATAACTCAGTCAAAGAGCCCAAGAAAGACCGGAGAAGAATCAGTACATTTGAAGTGCCATACACCTCCCAAAGAGCAAACAAAGCTGTCTTGGAAGACAGACAGCCATATGACCCTTACAGGCAAGGACGGCGACACTTCATCTCACATATTTTAGACATGTTAACAGTAAAGACCAGTACCGGAAAAGGACATAAATCTTGGTACAAGGGCAGTGAAAAAAAGGAAGACCCTTGATAAGATGGATTGACACAGTCGCTTCAACAATGGACTCAAACATAGGAACAATTGTGAGGATGATGCAGGACTGGATACGTAATACATAAGGCTGCTAGGAGTTGAACCAAATCAACTGCACCTAACAGCAACAACAAGAGTCTGAGTATATCCCTTTTAAAAACATTTTATTGTTTAAAAACAATAAAATCCATCATATAAATAAAATAAAAGAACTACATGATCATATAAATTGCCACAGAAAGGGAATTTGACAAAATCTAAAACACTCAAGAAAATAGGGCAGGGGGAGGAGGATTTCTCAACATAATAAAGGACATAGGCGTGAAGTCAAAGACCACATCTCATTCAATAGAGAGAAACGGAGAACATTCCCCTTGCCAACAGGAACAGGAGAAAGATGACCTTTATTACTACTCTTATTTAATATCAGGCATGAAATCTTAGCCAGAGGTGTCAGGCAACAAAGAGGAACCAAAAGGATTTGAATTGGCAAAGAATAAGTAAAGCTCTCCCTATTTTTGGATATGATTCTACCCATAGAAAAACCCAAAGAAAATGGTTGGACCTAGTTGAAAGTTTAGCAACTTGGTAGAATACAAGAAGAATATACAAAAGTCAGTTGGATTTCTTTATACCAATAAAGAGCTCTAAAAATGAAATCAAGAAAAAACTGTTAATTAAAATAGCTGCCCATAATTGATAAAATACTTAGGAATAAACTTAACAAGAGAACAAAAGGCGTATACAAAGCAAATTACAAAACATTACAATAAACCAAACGAAACCTACATAAATGGAAAAACATACCATAACCATCAATAGGGAAATTGAACATTGTGAAAATGTCAATACTACCCAAAGAGATCTATAAATATAATGAAAGCTGGATCTCTATCCCAACATAATTCTTTATGGATGCAACAACTAATAACCAACTTTATATGGAAAGGAGAGAAACCTAGGATAAACAAAGTTCTACTAAAGCAGAACAGAGTGAGAGGCCTTTCCTTCCTGATCTTAAAACCTATTGCACAGCCACAATAATCAAAACAGCTTGGAACTTATATAAAGGTAGACGTATAGATCAATGGAGCAGATTAAGAATCCAGAAGTAAATTCATCCACTTATAGAAAACTAATTTTTGACAAATGGCTGAGACCCATAGTATCTACAACACATGGTCCTATAAAACTGGATCTCCATTTGTAAAAGAAGGAAGAACTCATACTTTATATTATATATAAAAATGAGCTCAAGATGGATTAAAGACCTAAATGTAAAACCTAGAACTATAAAGGTCATCAGTGAAGAAATCGGGACAAACTTAGGGACCCTAAAACATGGCACAAACATACTATCAAATATAACAAAAAACACATCTACAAGAAGACAAAATAGATGATTGGGACCTCCTAAAAATTAGACATTTATGTGCATCTAAAGATTTCACCAAAAGAGTTCATTGAGAACTCCCTAGACTGGGGGGACATTTTTGGCAATGACGCATCACACAAGGAATTAATCTCTAAAATCTATAGACAAGTTCAACACCTCAACAAGAAAAAGGCAAATAACCCAAGCAAAAATGAGTACAGGATATGAACAAACAGTTCAACAAACAAGACATAGCGCAGCCAATAAATATATGAAGAAACGCACATGATCATTAGTTATATGAGAAATGCAAAGCAAAACAATAACACCTCACCCTAGCATTGATAGCAAAGTTCAAAAAAATCAGAAAACTGTGAATGTTGGAGAGGGGACTGAGAGACTGGATCCTTCCTGTATTACTGGTGGGACTGTAAAGTGCTGGACTGGACTAGGCCACGGTGCCCGTGGGAGTGGGGTGTTTACACAAGTTAAGGAGAAATAGCTACAAGGATGGATAAAGATCAGAGCTAGGAATCTCTGAAGTATGAATCTAGGACCTTGGCAGTCATCAAAAAGGAAGTTGCAACCATAGCATTTGATATACTAGGCCTTGGTGAGCTGAAATTGATTTATTGGCCATTTTGAATCAGAAAGTCATATGACTGACTATTCCAGGAACGACACAATCAAGAGGAATGACACTGCATTCATTGTCAAAAGGGACATTTCCAAATCAATCCTGTAGTACAGTGCTGTTTGTGCTAGGATTATATCTATCTGCCTTCAAGGAAATTCAGTCAATGCAACTATTATACTACACTAACCACAAAAAAGCTGATGATGAAGAAATTGAGCAATTCTACCACCTCTTCATTAGGAA